CTCTCCCACCCTCTCCGGCCAGGCCTAGCTTGTTTATTTACAGTTCTGTGAAGGATTCCCCTCTCCCCCTCTTCGGTGCTCAGGGCTCCCCACTCTCTTTGCAACGTGTCTTTATCGTTCTGATTGCTTTTACTCAGTTTTCTTTTTTTCCTGGGTGGTGGTGGGCTGTCCAGGGGCTATGCTGATCTGCCAGGTTGGTCTGTGGGAGTACCAACATACCGCTTAGCTCACCTTTGGTGTGTCTTCCCAACCATCTGGTTGCGGGCGACGGGGTGTTCTGGGGCTTTCTGATTTCTCTGTTCAATGTGAAGAGAATGCTCTGCGCAGGTGCAAAGTGGAGGTCAAAGTTTTGCCTCTTCTCGGTTGCCTTGCCTGCAAGCTGTGTCTCCAGTGTCTCTCCAAGATTTCACTTTAGGAGGCATGCTTTGTGCTTCCTCCCTCTCGCCGCCATCTTGGAATCTTATAAGTTCACTTTTAGCTGCCAGCAAATGAATGACTTTGTTTTCTGAACTTCTGAAAATGCTAAATTAGATGAAACTGAGAATATCTGATACTCTTAAAGTCATAGGTGTATTGTAGAAAACTAGGAAAATATACCATAGAAGCATCCATGGACGAACCTTGAAATAAGCTGTACATCAAAGGACAAATATTGTATTCCACTTATGTTACATATCAGAACAATCAAATTTGTAAGAACAGAGTTAGAATAATGGTTACCAGGATTGGGGGGAAGGGAACAGAGAGTTACTATAGATTTCAGTGTGGAAGATAAAAAGGTTTTAGAGATCGATAATGGTGATGGTTGCACAATATGAAAGTATTTAATGTCACTAAACTATGCACTTAAAAATGATTGAGACAGTAAACTAGTTAAATTTTGTGAATTGTCCAGAAATGGTTACTTTACTTTATTGGTATATATCCTTCCAGTCTTATTTCTGTGTGTACTCAGTGGTGTCTGTGTGAACCTTAGCTTTAAAACATTCAAATGATACTCTGCATTGGAATCTAGCTTTTACTTTGTCATTAGAATTCTTCAATGACTATTTGGTTAACTGATTAATTAATTTTGTGTGTGTGTGGTATTGAACCCTGTGCCTTGTGTCTACTAGGCAAGCACTCTACCACAGAGCTATGTTCCTAGCCTCAATGACTTTATTTTTTGTTTTTAGGTTTTGTTTGTTTTTGAGACAAGGTCTTACCATATAGCCCAGACTCTAATTACCTAACATTTCTATTTTTGGATGTGTCCAGATTTATTCGACCTTTGCTGAATGTTGAGGTTTCAGCATAGGAGGCCCATTTGCTATTATGCACAACACTATAGTTGATATCCAAGTAGCTAAATATTTGCCCACATCTCTGGTGATTTCCTTAGTATGAATTCCTGGGACTGAAATTTTTTTCCTTGATGTTTATTGTTAAATTGTTCTTTAGAAAGATGAAACCAATTGCGCTCCTCCAGCCCCTGTGATGTTTAATAGTTCCTATTTTCCTGTACCTTTGCCAACACTGAGTACTGTCCAGTTTTAAAATCTTCTAAATCTTATTGCAGTGAGTACTTCAGATTCAGAGGACTTGTCTTCTATTACCCATTCTCTGTACAGAGTAAATCCCTCTAGGCCTGAAGCCCATTGGAGTTGGGAAAAAACCTTTGAGATGATGGTCCTTTCTGTACGTTTGTTACCAGTACTTTCTACTTCTGCAGGATTGCCCTGGTGACTAAATTGATGAAAAGTCTTAGGAGAGCTTTCTGTAGCTACAGTTCTTCTGATCCTTTCTGGCTGTGGATTTGGTACTCTGTCAATATGCCTGTCATCTAATTCTGTCCCTTGTGTTTTAAAGTTTTAGATTCCAGTTTTTTATTCCATCTGCCTTAGCCATACTGTATTATATTTGGCATTCAGTATACTGCCTCTTTGTTTTTTGTGTCCCTGATCTTATTCCCAGAGATGTACCTATTTGTTCAGGATTCATTTTGCAAAGTGTTTTTATCAAGCACCCACTGAAAATAAGTAGCTTAAATCTGGAATAACACAGACAAGCAAAATAATTGAAATATGATCTTTCCCCTCTGTTTATATAGAACTGAGAAGTATATAGAAGATAGAGAATACATAAATTTTTTAAACCAAATACTGGTTAACTATATTCATTCATTAATTCATATGTACATTAAACATTTGCTGAGTGCTTACTACTTGTTAAGCATTGGGAAGGCAAAAATGATCAGGAGCCAGGTGTGGTATTACATGCCAATAATCCCAGCCCTTGGGCTGATGGAGTGGCTCAAGTGGTAAGAGCGCCTGACTAGCAAGAGTGAAGCACTGTGCCTCAAAAGTAAATAAATAAATAATCCTAGCACTTGGGAGGATGAAGCAGGAGGATTCTAATTAGAGACCAGCCTGGGCTACATAGCAAGACCCTGTTACATACACACAAAAATAAAATAAAAAAAGATCCAGGGAAGATTTCTTCCATCAAGGAGGTCTACATGGGTATACTAATGCATTAACAGTATGATTGCAGTATTGGTGGGGACTTTTTTTTTCTTTTGGCAGTACTAGGATTTAAACTCAGGACTTCACACTTGATAGACTCTACCACGTGAGCCACACCTCCAAAGTTGATGGAGACTGTCAATGGAGATTTTTGAGCTAAGCCTTGAAATATGAGAATTTTTCCAACTGGAAAAAAGAGAGGAAGCAGCAATTGAGGTGAAAGCAGAGACATGGAATGCCCAGAAAACACAAGTTGTCTTGTGTCACTAGAAACCAGAGCACATAGGGAACGCTGAGGAGAAATAAAGAGATAAGATCAGGGTATGAAGAACCTTTAAATGCTCTGCTTAAGAATTTGGACTTTATCCCGAGGGCAGTAATGATTAACAATTACATAGTGTTAAGAAAGCATTGGCTTATTATCTGAACAGTGTTATGCCACTAAGGTGTTTATGGAAGAAAAAGACATGATAAACATGGGTTTTGGGGAACTGCTATAATATTAAAAGCAGACATCAAAGTAACATTGTGGGAATAGAATAGAAGAGTAGAACGCATTAAAGAGACATTTTTAGAATTAGAATCAAGAAGACTTAGTGACCTTTTTTGTTTTGTTCTCCCAAATGTATTTGGCCTGTTGCCTGTAGGGGAATTTATCTGTTATAAAGTAATTCCTATGAGAAAACTAAAGGGAAGTTATACCTAATTCTCCCATTACTATTTTTTCTGATTTGCTGGTCTATTTAATGGCCACATACAGGCTAGATATGATAATTGTGACAGTACTGACTGATACCCTGCTCAAATATCTTATGTGTGGTTTTACTTCTGTTTTATTGAGGCAGGGCCATGGATAGAGTTTGGTCAGTAGTGTAAGTACCCATGGGTACCATGTGGTGGCAGTGGTGTTGCTGCAGACATTGGCAGCAAAGCAGTCACACGGTAGCAGTGGAAATCTTTGTAAAACTGGAAAAACACATTTTCTGGTTATAAAAACCTCCTGAAAACTATGAACTTAGTGTAGCAGGAGAAAAATGATAGCTTGTTTTTAGTAGAGAGCAAAGTTGTTTTCAAGGATCAGAAGAAAGAAGCAGAGAGTAAAATAGACTTTGTTTCATCTCCTTTTCCCTTACCCCCACTTCCAGATAGCCATCAGTGTTCCTGACAAAGAAATATATGTTTTGGAAAACGCCTTATGTACCTGAATTCTTTGCTTATCAAATACCTGAGACTTAGCATATTGTTTCCTTTTTTTGTTTGTTTGTTCTTTTTATTTTTTCTTCTATTTTACTGTTTTACATTTACTTACACATGTATATGTTATTTCTGCCACCTCCTCCTTCACCCCCCCCCAGCATTTTGTTTCTTTTTTTTATTTTTATTTTTTGGTAGCACTGAGGTTTGAACTCAGGACCTCATGCTTGTTAGGCAGGTGCTCTTACCGCTTGAGCTACTCTGCCAGCTACCAGCATATTGTTTCTTGAAATGAAGCAATAAATAATAGGAGCCCCATAAATAAGAACTCATTATCTTGAATTAAAAACATTAACTGTCTTTACAGGCTTTCTAGAATGCCATAGGAAATACTCAACATTTCATCTGTTTAAAAATAACATATTTTTGAGCCGAGTGTTGGTGGCTCATGCCTGTAATCCTAGGTACTCAGGAGGCAGAGATCAGAAGGATCGTGGTTCAAAGCCACCCTGGGCAGATAGTTCTCAGGAGACTCTAACTTGAAAAATTCCATCACAAAAAGGGCTGCCAGAGGGGCTCAAGGTTTAGACCCTGAGTTCAAGCCTCGGTACCACAAAAATAAATAAATAAATACAATTTTTAAAAATAACCTATTTTTGGAGCTGAGCATAGTGACATGTGCTTGTACCCCTGGCTACGTGGGAGACTGAGGTGGGAGGATCACCTGAGCTCAAGAGTATGAGACTCCATCTCAAAAATAAGTAAGTAATCATGTATTTTCACGTGAACTAATCTAAAATGTCTTGTTAATCTCCCAATACCAAATCTTTGAAACCTAGCCTGCATAAAATACTAACATATTCATGCTAATTTTATATTTCAACAGTGCTTAGGTTCCATATTATTTCACTCCCTATCTTCAAAAGAAAATAGCTGGGTAGTGAGCATGGCTCAAATGGTAGAGCACCTGTCTAGCAAGCACAAGGCCGAGTTCAAACCCCAGCACTGACAAAAAAAAACCAAAAAAACAAAAAAAACCCAAGAAACAATTGCAAAAGGACATCACAATAAAGCAAATCTATTTGAGAGAATTAAAGATTCCCCCTCAACATCGTTTTGAAACAATTTCAAGGTCATTAATTCATGAGAATGGTCGGATTAAAAATTGTTCAGCCAGAACTCATAATTCCATACTAGGTGACTTCAGTTCCTACTAAAAATTAATTGCTGTGACACATTTTCACTTTATGGCAAGTTTCTCAGAGTGTGTGACTTTCTTGGTGTTCTTTCTTGTTTTTGCAGCAAAGGGATACCATGCAAGATAACTTGATAAAGCTCCAGCAGGAAATGGCTCATCTAGAAGCTGTGCTAGAGCAACATGAGAGCCAGCCTCCTGACAGCTCCCCTTCCCTCATAGCTGACTCTTACGACCCTGACAACCTGCTAAATCCAGAACAAAACATATCAGGAAAAGGTTTGTAATATTGGCAAATGCCAGTGTCTTACACAAAAGTTCTTCCCCTTCTGCAGCCTTTTTCTCCGACTGAAAAGTAAGGACCTAGTTTCAACATTTTATGACCTTTGCTCAACACATATGTACTGAGTCACTCCATGGGTAATTTGGGAGCCTTGGTTCTAGTCCCTAATATACCATTCAGAGAGACCCAAGGAGATGCTGTGGGAAGCCATAGGAGATAGACATCCTAGTTCTTATTCTTAGAAGCTCAGTATAGTGGGAGAAATTGTAATATGTAACCCCATAATTTCAGAAAGCCATGGAAAAAATACTCAGATGTACTCTTACAGCACTGGTGTCGGATCACAAAGGCCTATGTGGCATTCTTTATGATTTTTGGAAAGAGAGCTCCTCTACTTCAGGAACTATACTTCTGAGTTTTCAGTTGGAGAGATAGCACATGATCAGGGGACCCACAGGGAGAGCTTAATGCCCAGGAACAAGTAGGGGTGGTGAGCCCTCCAAAGTGTTCTTTACAACCATCTGAGTGAGCCCTACCTGACTAAGTGTCAAAGTTCATCCTCCAACACCTCGTTCCACAGTCCTGCTCAGGGCCCTAAGACCTTCTTTTGAGTCTTTCTAGGAACTCAAGCATGTTCATTATTCAGAACAGTGGCCTTGGTCCCCACATGTGACTTGTAATATTTTTATGTTCAGAAAGAAACAGTAACTCACACATGAGCAGCTAGAAACTGTTGTTGTGGCACTGCTTCAAAATGTGTTTCCTTAAATGCTTTCTTTGTAACTGCATCTTCTTTTAGTTTATCTCCAGGCTAATAAGCCCAGAGTCCCATCCTCAGTACAGCTCTCTTCTTTGGGATTCTTTCACTGTCTTCACTCTGAAAGCAAGCTGGACTTTCAGTTCTAATACACAAGAAAAGAAATGTTACTGTCTGGCTTTGACTCTCTGTCTAAATATACTTTCTCTTCTTTGGCATATATGTGTGTTGGTTTTTTAAGTGAATATCTGTACATAAAATGTTTCTTTGTAAACAAACAATTTTTTTTATGGTTTCATTTCTGAAATATTTTGAGTATCAATTTAGTACCAACTCAAGTGTCAGCCTTTTCCTCCTTAGGTTTGTGAGTCTTAACCAAAACTCAAGTAAATTTTTTGGGGGAGGTATTGGAGTTTGAACTCAGGGCTTGGCTCTTGCAAAGCAGGTACTCTACCACTTGAGTCACACCTCCAGTTCATTTTGCTCTGGTTATTTTGGAAATGGGATCTCAAAGAACTATTTGAGACCTGGGCTGGCCTGAATCTTGATCCTCCTGATCTCAGCCTCCCACGTAGCCAGGCTTATAGGTATGAATCACCAGTGCCCAGCAGAAAATTTCTTAATCCTAGGAAAAAGTATTGTTTATCTCCTGCTATCTTCTGACCCATTTTTAAATAGACTTTTTGGAATAATTTTTGGATTACAAAAAGGGTGCAATGATAGTACAGATGACAGTGTTGCCATATGTTCCTTACCCAATTTCAGTTTTCTCCCTAACATTATCTTACATTACCATCGTACTTTTGTAAAAGCTAAGAAACTGACATTAATATATTACTATTAAGTAGTGACTTTATTTGTATTCTACCAATTTTTTTTTTTTAAGTTCCAGTAAATTTTTTTTTTTTTTTTGGCAGTACTGGGGTTTGAACTCAGGGCCTACACCTTGAGCCACTCACCAACCCTTTTTTGTGATGGATTTTTTTGAGATAGGGTCTTATGAACTATTTTCCCGGGCTGGCTGCCAACCTCAGTCCTCCTGATCTCTGCCTCCTGAGATGCTAGGATTGAAGTGTGAGCCACTGGCACCAGGCTACGATCCAAAGCCCTTTCTCAATGCCCTGCTCTTCAGCATAGATCTACCTGCTGTTTGTCCAAGGATCATTCCCAACCCTGCATAGTATTTGCATGCAAATATGTGTACTTACTCATAAATTATGTGTGCTTCTATACATAAAGTTATTTCATATTAGGTACTTCATTTTGTGTTATGGGGGTTTTTTCCCCCTCCTGGATTTCCTGTCATTCAGAAAGCAAATATTAGCAATTGTGAGATCATAGCAAATTACAGTAGAAGTGATTTTTCAGACATATCTGAGCTTTTGTATCCTGTAATATGTTCATTCCGGGAAGCACTTGTCAAAAATTTCTAGGTTCCTTTCCTGGGAGTTCTGAATCAGTTGAGGTGCATGGGTTATGTACTTTTATTTTGGTTTTGGTTTTTAGATGGGGTCTCTCTATGTAGCCCAGTCTGACCTGGAAATGCTGTGTATCCCAGGTTCCATGTCTCCTGGAACTCAATATCTCCAGCCTCAGCTCCCAAGTACTGGGATTACAGGCATGTGTCACCACAGCTAGAGGGTTAAATGTTTTTCTAAAGTTGAATTTCATTATGGGTTCTGTATTTTGTAGTTTATCATTTCTTAGTCTCTTTCCTTGATTCTTCCCAATACCTTGTGCAAGCTGACCTTGAAGTGAGATGCTATCTCCACCTCCAGAGTAGCTAGGAGAAACCTTGTTTTGGGGGGGGGGGGACTGGTACTAGAAATTGAATTCAGGACCTTGGACAAGTACTCTACCACTTTAGCCACACCCACAGCCCCATTGCCCTTCATTTTCCTTAATCATTCTCTAAACCACAAGCTCAACCCAGGCCTTGAATATTATTTACTTGTTGATTGATTTAGAAAAGTATAAATGCAGGAATGTAGAGCTCAGATTCCAGAACAGTACCGAAGTCCCCCTATAAACATGTAACATGTTTTAACATGTTACATTCTCATGGTACAGAATATGAACTGGACCAAAACATTTAATAAATTTACTGATTGCCTATGTGCAAATTATAGGATCTCACTTGAAGGTCAACTCAGGCAAAAAGAAGTTAGTAAAACCCCATATCAACCAGTAAAAAATGCTGGGCATGGTGGTGTGATCTGTCATCCCAGCTACAGGGAAGCATGAGTAGGTGGATACAGGAGGATCAAGGATTGCGGTCCAGGCTATCTGGGGCATAAATGTGAGACCCTATCTCAAAAATAACAAAAGCAAAAAGGGATGGGATGTGGTTCAAGTGGTAGAACACCTGCCTAACAAGCATAAGACCCTGAGTTTATACCCCATCACCACCTCCCTGCTCACCACAAAAAAAGGTTTTGAGGCTTATGTTTTATTTTGTGTTATTTGAAGCAGAATCTCACTATGTGGCTAGGCTGGCCTCATACTGTGTAGCCTAGGCTGGCCTCAAACTTACAGTCTTCCTACCCTAACCTCCCATCCTATTGCTGGGATTATAGGCATGCACCACCATGTTCAGTTTAGCAGGAAAGGTTTTTTGGTTTGGTTTGGTTTGGTTTTTTGCAGTACTGAACATAGGGCCTCATGCTTGCTAGGCAGGTGCTCTACCACTTGAACCACTCCACCAGTGTGGGAGCAGATCATGAGAAGCCTATGAGAACGTGACATAAGCACAGTTGTGCTCAATGATCTACAGGCTGAGTTTGGCAAGGCCCCAGCAGCAGAAGAGAGCTAGAGGCAAAATGCAGCACAGCTCCTTTTCCTAAGTTGTTTACAAGGCAGGTTTCTCTTGTTACCCCTCCCTGAGAACAGTTGCTCCACCTCCTTGTTTACCACTGGATATAAAAGGCTCACTGAAGGAGGACATGAGGTTTTTTGATTGGGGTAGAGGGTGGATTGATTGGTTGGCTGCTGAGTTATGCTAGAGATTAGAGGAAACATGGGACAGTGCAAATCTGAGGACCAAGACTTTAAGAGAGATTATGCTAAAGAAAAGCTAAAAGAGAACATGGGACAGAGTGAGTCTAAGGAAAGAGACTTTAAAGAATAAAAAAGAAGACTTTAAAAGTAAGATTTTAAAGAATAAGATAAAAGAAACAGTAAAAGAAGAGAGTTATAGAGAAAAGAAGCAACGAGGCTGTTGTGTGTCTCCATCCAAACGCCCAGCACACCTGGCCCCAGCTTTGTGCATGTTTGTCTATCGTTTTTCCTTTCTGCATCTCCAGTCACCCCCAGTTAGGTTCAGTAGGAACAGAGTACGAGAAAGCTCTCTACACACCAGCCTTGATTTTTTTGTTGTTCTTGTTGAGTATTTTCGAGATACGGTTGTACAAACTATTTCCACAGGCTGGCTTCCTGATCTCTGCCTACTGAGTAGCTAGTATTATAGGCGTGAGCCACTGGAGCCCAGCAGCTGGAAAGTTTTTTAGGTTCTGGTGGATTGCTAACACCTAAATGGAGTAAACTTATTTTTTTCAAGTTTGAGGTCTGTTGTAATGAAAAGAGGAATTTATTTGCTAAATATTCTGGTGATGGGATAACTTTTGTTTTTCGTGGTGTTGAGGATTGAACCCAGGGTCTCCAACAGGTTAGGTAACCAGCTCTACCACTGAGCTATACTCCCATCCTCCCCCTCCTTTTTTAAAAACCTTTGCAGTGGTTAATACTATTCTATATGTTTCTTTGGAAGCTACCCATACCACTTTATCAGTTTTCTTTATTTTATTTTTTTTCCTTTATTGTTGTGATGGGTGGGGGTACATTGTGGCATTTACACAGGTTCTTACAACGTGTCAAATGTATCATACATGAATTCACCTCAACTATTCTCCTTCATCCCCCTCCCCCATTCCTGGAGTCTTTTGTTTGTTTGTAGTTTTTGCCTTGAGGTATCATTTTTGCATTTACTTACATGTGTGCATGTGTTATTGCACCGTATTCACCCTCCTACCCCCTTTCCACAACACCCCCCCTCTCTCCCACGGGTGTCAGCCCTCCTGTTCTCCAATTTTGTAGAAGAGAAAAGAGAAAATTGGAAAATATACAATGCTCATAGTCAGACCTACTTTCTTTAAGCAACTGGTAGCTTCAGACAGAGTTCTTAGAAACTCACAAGTCCAAAAGATGAGCATAAAAGAAACTATAAATAATGCATTTGAAGATTAACTCAAGAAATCAATGATTAGTTCCCCTTAGGTTATCCACTGTCTTAAAGAGCAGTTTAATTAATGCAACCTTTTGTTTACATTTTCTGCCTCAATTTATGGATTTTAACTTCTGTAATAAAAGCTTAGAATGAATTACAGCCATCAGTGACTTTTTAATGGATAGAAGACATTTATAACTTTTAACTATTTGTTTTTACTATTTAAATATTTCTGCCTTTAAGCCACTTCCTAGAAGGCAGTGGCACAATGTACATTGGCGGAATTAATAAATAAGGATATGCTAACATGCTAGAACTTTGCCTTGAGTCTGTTTGCTCCCTTCTTGTGCTATTTCTTCATTAGTTCCTTGTATTACTTCAAGGTTCCTTATCAACCAGCCTCTTGTTGTTTTGTGTCTGTGTGTTAGTGTTTTTGTTTTGTTTACAGGGGAGAGTTCTTTTCCTGCTTCCCCATACATGCAGAAGTCCAAACTCTCCTCCCTGCAGACTTTAATGTGGATAGAGTGTACATACAGAAGGGAAAGTACCTTGTGTTTACCAGTACTTTTTTTCCTGTTGTCCAAGGGGATTTGGGTTTAATTCAGTTTGTTGCAGAGATAAAAATTTAGTACATATCTTGTTTTCTTATCATTCAGGGCCAAAAATAGATATATATGGTTTCTTCAGCTTTGACTCAGCCGAGTGTCCCTATTTATCTAGTCTATAAAGTGTTCCTTTTATTATTGTTATTAATTTTTTTTTATTTGGTGGGACTGGGGTTTAAACTCAGGGCCTCATTCCTGCTAGGAAATCATTCTACCACTTGAGCCACTCTGTCAGCCCAATTATTACTGATTTTTAATCAGTTTTGTTTGGTGTTAGTAATTGTCTGCTACATCACTTGTATCTATAAAATTCTGTCTGATAAACTCAAGAACCAATTTGATTGTCACAGATAGCTGCTTTTAAAGTCAGTACGTGCCAGGCATGGTGATATATGTCTATAATCCTAGCATTTGGGAAGCTGAAACAGGAGAATTAATTTCAAAGCTAGTCTGTGCTACATAGCAAGTACACAGCTCAGACGCTGTCTTAAAAAACAAACAAACAAAAAATCAGCATCCTCACCTAAATTATCACCATCAGGACAAAGAAGTAAAGTATATTTCTTTATTTTCTCATTCCATTTAAAGCAGTTTTAACTTTGGAGAAAAGTAATGAATATCCTATAAGCCAGAATCCAGAAAACCTTTCTGCTAACAAATTTCAAGTATCTCCAGGACCAGGAGTAGAAAGGTAAGAAATACCAAGTTATGGTATCTCAGTAATGTCTTTGTTTATGTTTAACTCTTTTTTTTTTAATTATTGTTGTACTGGGGGTACATTGTGACATTTACAAAAGTTCTTACATTATATCATAGTTGAATTCACACCCTCCATCATTTTCTTTCTTATTGTTAATTTTGGTCACAACTTTCTGCAGTGTTTTATACAGAGACATTTCTAACCTCTCATTGCTCTGGGACACTTCCTAATTGGAGATAGGGTTTTTGGACCTATATAAGAAATAAGCTGCAACATGAAAAATGTGCAGTTAGATCTGTCCTTCTAAAGGTCAGAACTAAAACCGAGGCAAGCCTGAAGGCTGATGATAGACTTCCCCAAGCCCTTGCCCTAATTAAAATTTTTGCCTTTCTAGGCAGTAAATATTCAAAGACTAGCAAAAAGAAAGACTATTAAGTACTTTATTTATTTGTTTGTTTATTTTTGAGATAGGGACTCATATAGCCCAGGCTGGTCTCAAACTCTCTATTTTCCTGACTCACCCTCCCAGGTGTTGGGATTACAGGCATGCACCACTATGCCCAGTTGATATTTTTTAAAAATACTCAGAACTATAAAGACACACATCTCACCACTCCACGAAAGAAAAGGAATTATGTCCTTGAATATGTGTATATTTCTTTTGAGAATGGTGACATGTTGAGAGTAACATAACCATCCCATCTTTCCTATCCTTGGACTTCACTTTGTATTTATTTTTGAGGTTAGGGTACTGGCATCATAGTTGTGTCAAACAATGAATAAGATCTGGCTTCCTTAGGCACTGAAAGCCATGTCTGGAGGTAATAAACTCATTGGCATGCTTTAACTGGTAATCTAACTTCCACTAAGTATTCAAACTGAATGGCCCTGTTTCTCCTCCTCCCACATGTACCTTATAGAAACTTTTATCATAAACCTCACACTAATAGAACTTCCTCTGTATATTAGACTTGTTTTTTCTCAGGTGTTCAGGACCGAACCCAGGGCCTTACACATGCTACAGGCAAGCATTTTACTACTGGCTTTTACTTTTAGAATGACTTTGGATGATTTTTAGAATGATTTTGGACATTGAAAAAGCAAAGGATAGGGATAATTCTATAAATTCTGCCAAAACTGTGTAGAAAGAAGGAGTATAAAAATGTCAACATTAGGACTGGTGGAGTGCCTCAAGAGCGCCTGTCTAGCAAGTGTGAAGCCGTGAGTTCAAATCCCAGTGCCACCAAAAGAAAAAAAAAAAAAAGAAACATCAACATTGGTCAGCTTTCTGTCTTTATAAGAGGTCTAACACATCCATTTGGCCTCAAGTGGAATGGTGTATAGAATTTAAGTGGCAGTGGATAATTTGGCAAAAATTGCTGACATGGTTTTAAACACCTAGGAGATATACTGCCTCAGACCAAACCCTAAGGGGAGAGTTGTATGTCAGCCATGACATGTTGGAAGGCAGCATGAATCCAGAATTCTAGGCTGTCATGTGGGCTCTTTTGTTAGTCATTCCTTATTTCTCTAACAGGGAGCTGTTTCACTTACGCTTTGGCTGCCCGGGAATTATGATTTAAGTCCTTACAGAATTGGCAGTGATGGCTTTCTCCTTTCATCCATCTTTCCAGATCTTCCCCTTCTAAGTCCCAGTTCGGAGGTAATAGGTGGTCTGCACACAGCCACTCTGGGAGTCTTCAGGACAGAAGCTACCCATCTCAAGAGGAGGTTGTTAAGATTCTTGATTCAGAGGAGCAAAAACAGGAAAAGAATAACCCACATGATGTAATGGACCAGGCTTATTTGCCAAGGCAAGATCTAGGTAATATTTCATCTACCGTAATACCGTAACACTTTTTACTTTACTCTGAATCCTATATAAGATATTCTGGGTTGGAAATGCAATCCCAGCACTCAGAAGGCTGAGGCAGAAGAATAATGAGTTTGAGACCAGCCTCAGCTACATGAAGAGTTCAAGGCCAGTCTGAACTACATAATGAGACCCACTGTCAAATAAATAAAAATAAAAAAAGGTATTCTAGTTAGTCAAATATATCAATCTGTTATAGATGCTTCTGTTATACTTAAACCCATTTTTGAAAAATAACAAGTTTGCTGGGCACTGGTATCTTATGCCTGTAATCCTTGCTACTCAGGAGGCAGAGATCAGGAGGATCTCAGTTCAAAGCCAGACCAGGCAAATACTTCTTGAGATCCTATCTCAGAATAACCCATCACAAAAAATAGAGATAGTGGAGTGGCTCAAGGCATAGGCCCTGAGTTCAAACCCCAGTACTGCAAAAAAAAAAATAAAGAACACATTTCAATTCAAGTTTACCTAAAAATATTGGACCTTTTCATCTGTCTTTTATTTAACTAGAAGTTTTGAAGATGAAAGAGTCTTGGTGTGCTCTAAATATTTTACTTCAACTGTATGTAAGAGTTCTAAGGCTCTAGAATAAAGTTTAGGCCTGTTCTGTATTGAAAAATTAGTCAAATCCCAAAGAAGCTCTTTTTTAAAAAAGAATTAATGAATATGAATGATTTTTTTATGCCCTGTAAATCACTTTTAATGAAGAGTACATTTTGTGGCTTGTATATCAAAGTTTTAATCAATAAAGAAAATGTTTAGTCCTAGAAAACACATGATGATAAAAGGTACTCTTGGACATCAAATGTGGTATTTGGCCTTGCTCATTAGGGTCATTTTAGGAATCTCATACCTATACTCAGTTTAACATCTGAAATGTTTCGAGGATGTTGTCTCTGCTCTTTTTAATTTGGTAGTGACATCTATTGATTTATTAAGTGAAAAAGGTAATGATACCATCATAGATGAAGAAATAAAAGTAGAGTATTTGTCATAATTGCCAACCTTTTTTCTCCTTCCTTACTAAAGTACTGTATATTCGCTGTCCAGAAAGTGTACAATATAGGAAATACAAAATGAGGAATATTTAAAATTACCTGTATTCTTATCAGTTAGCAATAAAGCTATTGCTATTTCTTTAATCATTTTACTTAAATTTTTAGTTTTCAAAGAGTCATAAGCTGGTCATGATGGCACATGCCTGTAGTCCCAGTTACTTGAAAGGCTGAGACAGGAGGGTTGCATTAGCCCTGAAGTTGAGACAGCCTAGGCAATGTAGTAAGACTTTGTCTCAATCAATCAATCAATAAAATGTAGTTAAGATAAACATTTCTTAGAAAGGGTTGAAAGGATCAAAGTAAAGTATACTTTACCAAAGTAAAGTAAAGCAGTGATACATTGAGAAACTCCTTTGAACATTGACTTAAATGTAAATAATGAAAGACAGGAGTGTAAAATAGCTACAGGGGCGGTACTTGTTGGGGAAGGTGAACAAAGGAGATTAAGGTAAGGGAGTATGGTTGATGGGCTTCATATACTTATACAAAATAGAACAAAGAAACCTCTTGCAATTGCTTTAAGTGGGACAGGTTGGAGGTTGAGGGGGAGAGATTGTAGGAGTGATCTAATTGATGTACAATATAAGCTGATTTGGAATTGTCACGAGTCCACCCTGTACAACAAATAAATACATCCTAATAATTTTTTTAATTAAAAAAAGATATTTCTCAGTTTCTTACCTATCTTTAATATATTAGAAACATTTCTGCATTTTATTGAATATCATTTATACTCAAACTGTAACAAAGACTACTGCATTAGAATAGATGTATCATAATTTATTTAATCTCATAGTAGATATCTGGGTCATTCTAAAATTATGCTATCATAAACAGTGTTGTAGTGGACATCCCTATGACTAAACCTTTGCATCCATCTTTTTTTTTTTAGTGTTACTGAGTTTTGAACTCAGCCTACACCTTGAGCCACTCCACCAGCCCTTTTTGTATTGGGTTATTTCAAGATAGGGTCTCACAAACTATTTGCCTGGGCTGACTTTGAACCTTGATCCTCCTGATCTCTGTCTCCTAAGTAGCTAGGATTGCAGGCAAGAGCCATCAGCATCTGGCTTACATCTTTTACTTTCTTAAGATGCATTTCTAAAATTAGAATTGTTGACTGAAAGTGTAAACAAATATTAAGACTTCTGCACATAAATCCTTATTGTCCTTTAGAAAAGTTAAGCCACAGTACTTCTACCAACTGTGTATCCTCTTAACCTAATTTCTTGGATCTTTTTAATTCTTAGCAGAGACAAACCTTGTAATTCAAGATTCATCACCATGTATTTTAAACTTCTTTTCCTTTCAGGGGGAACCCCATACCTGGAATCTGGAATTAGCCTCTTCTCTAGTAAACTTGAATCTGACCCCCCTGAAGACAGAGCTCCAGAGCCAGCTCATGTTTGCAGCTCACCAACTTCAAATTCTGTATTGAAATCCTCCCAATTTCAAGTTGCAGAATTTGCCAACGGTTCAGCTGCTGCTCATACTAGTAATACTGCTGGGTATAATACAGGGGAAGAAAGTACAAGTAGAGAGAAGCCAGAATTGACGTCTTCAACAGAAAGGGTCAACAAAAGAATATCCATGGTGGTATCAGGCTTGACCCCCAAAGAATTCGTGAGTCTATCTTTATATGTCTGTAATGACTGGGATGTAGCAACATACTGCAAATAGTTTTATATAGGTACTCGTAATAAATAACCTGTAGGAAGAAATCAAGGAACTAAGCACAGTTCTGTATAATTTAATTTCCACTCCTAATTTCTGAAAATTTGCATCTAGATAAAATACAGATTTTTTAAAAACATATGTATTTGAGAAAATAATTACTAAATCTTAGCAAAAAAGGTATACTTTGGGGTATGATATAAAGCTTTTGATTTAGTGTTAGTATTTTCTTTTATCTAAAAAAGCAAATCGGTGTAGTTCTCAGAAGCCATCCTTTTTTTCTCTCCTCAGTTTACATTTGAGTGAACTTACCAACACATTTAACTAAATGCAGCTGGTTCCAAGCACACTGCCAGACAGTGGCATTTCTCCAGTGTTTGTTTGTCTTTATCCCCAGCTTGTAAGACAGTTCTTCAATAGCCTTTCCTGTCATTTCTGCCCTACAACACCCTTGCTGTTAGGATTTTGGCATCTCCTTAGGCCACTTGTGCCAGAAATGGGAATTGTTTCACATGGAAAAATACCCATTAAAATATTAAGACCACTGAACCCTTGTTTCTCCTTTGGCTACTGTGATTTTCAGACATCTTAGGATATTTACTTACCTATAATTCATTGTTATTGTTATCACTTGATAATAAAACAATCAAATAAATTTTTCTTTAAAATTTGGTAAGATTACACATCAGACTACCAGTTGTATTCAATAGTGGATGCCATTTATTGTATGCTGAGAGACAACCAAGTCATTCTAAAGTGTCTTTCTTAATACATCCTTATTAGGGTAAGAACCATTTCTCATCCTAATTCCTCTATAGCTAGTGACTCAGCATAACATTGTCTGTGACCAGATGTGTCCCATTGAAACTACAAAGCAGGCTGTGATTGCCCTGATAGATACAGTGAACAAGTGTAACATGATGGCTGTTGATATTCTCATCTCACAGCCCCATGCCCTGACCAGCAATTTGCTCTGAAAATTCTTACCTGTGTCTATTTAAATGACTCTTGATCACTTGCCTACACATCTAGAATTCCCATTTATTCACTGAAAACTAGCATTCTCTATTCCTTTGTTTTGTGAGTTCATCTTTTCAGAGATGGTTAAAATTGTCTAATCTTTTTTTGCCTTTGGCTATTCCAAGCTGCAGATTAGACTACAAGTGGTTTGAGTACATGTTGTTTTTAAATAAGGAAAGAGGAAAACTTTGAGCTCTATTCAGACGAGCTGAAGTGTGGTAAATTTATGATGAAAGCTGCTGACTGTATTTCACATGATTAATTCTGAAGCCCATATTAAGATGATCTGTTCAGCAGTTGCTCTTCTAACTGAACACTGTTTCAAGGCTGAGATTTTAGCAATTAATCAGTTCAGAATTGCTAATGATCCCGGCAGAGGGCAGTGGCAAAAGGGGGAGGATGTCATTAGTTTCTCTAGCCTGTCTTTTTTCTGTGCCCCATGGCAATATAGAGTGAGACAGCACAAAAGAAAGATGGTCTGATTTCCCTTGCAATATTGTGCAGAACATAAATGTTGGTGTGGGTGGTGATGGCTAGTAATGATGGCTCTTGGTAAACAAAATTATTTACCACTACCAATTATTTCAGGTGTCCCCATAATGGACCTGGTTAATTTCTTTTACTACCTATTGATTTTTATTTGGTTGATCTATAATAACTAGAGGACTCTGGATTTCTTTTGAGAAGAACATTAGTCCCTTCCAATCCTTCTCTTTAAGCTAGAATTAATATTTTTTTGCATTGACCTTTAGAAGCATTTTCACCTGTGTATTTTATAGCTATCAGAGAATTGAATCTTGGCTTTAAGCTACAGAAAGCATAACTTTTCTGTACTGGCGAGTTTCCTCTCAGCTTATAAACTGTAGGCTGATAAATCTAAAATTATAGGACAATAAAGTGTCACTATACAAAGAAACTGTCTTAAGGAATCAAATGATATCTGCTATTAAAGGCAAAATTAATATTACTTTTGAATCTTTGGTTGTAAATTCATGTCTGCTAGCCCTGTATAAAACTATATTAGAGTGTCTTCCTCTGATTTGTTCATAAGTTTTATAAAATTAATTCATTTTGAAATTTTAAGCATGTTATTAAAATGATTTACCTTTTCTGAGAAAATTGGAGACTCAAAGCTAGGATAACTAATACTCTAAGCTGTGTACTAGTGGTAATTTATCATAATGTAATATTTGATTTGATTTCAGATGCTTGCACACAAGTTTGCCAGAAAATATCACATCACTTTAACTAATGTACTTACTGAAGAGACTACTCATGTCGTTATTAAAACAGGTATACCAAGAACCTTTACAGAATATGTTGCATTTGCTATATAAACCATATGAAAAAATAGCAATCAAGTTGAGAACCCCGAATCTGAAAATCCAAAGTCTGCAGGCCTGGCATCATGAATGGAAAATTTCACACCTGACCTCATGTGACAGGTCACAGACAAAAATGCAGGCACACTAAGTATATTGTATAAAATTATCTTCAGTGACTGGAGGTGAAGCTCAGTGGTAGGATGCTTAGCTAGCATGTACAAAGGCCCCAGGTTTGATCCCTATCAACACAAAAAGTAAAAAGACTGGGGGTGTGGCTCAAGTGGTAGAATACCTACCTAGCAAGTGCAAGGCCCTGAGTTTTAAACCCTAGAGCTAAAAAAAAAAAAAAGAAAGAAAAAGAAAAAGTAAAATTGCCTTCAGGCTATGTATAAGTGTTTATAAAATGTAAATGAATTTCGTGTTAGTCTTGGGTCCTTTCCACAAGCTATTTTCATGAATATGCAAATATTCCAAAATTCAAAATTTTCCAAAACATCTTTAGTCCCAAGCATTTGAGATAGGGATGTTCTAATTTGTATCTCTTAAGTATAGCATAATGATCTTCCAATGGTCAATCAATTATTACTTATGAAGGACAATAATTTTGCTACTTGGTTGCCCCCCTTCTGTTTTGGATTACGATTTAGAGAATGGCAAACCAAAATGATGAACCACTTCTATCTACCTTCCTGGAATATAGTGGAGTCAGAGACCAAGACCTGGAAGAACAAGTGAAGAAAAGAAGGGAAAAATCTGAAGACTAGCTCCATGTAACACCTGCTTTGAGTATGGTTGGGAATTTTTCAGGAAACAAGGGCTCCAGATAATCCTAACATATGAGAAAAGAGGAAAAAAAGGAAACAGCTCATTTGTCCAATACTTTCCCTTTTTACAATTGTTTGTTTATTGGGACTGGGGTTTGAACTCAGGGCTTAGCCCTTGCAAAGCTGATATTCTTGCCACTTGAGCCAGTCCTCCAGCTGATCATGGGAATTTTTCGTTGACTATCAGCTAATGCTGAGTCAGTGTTTAAGAGCTGCTAAAAAGCTTATTTGAAATTGGGCTGGCTGGGATTGTAGCTTATTGGCAGAGCACGTGCCTATGAGCTGGTTTGGGGCTTGATCCCCAACACCACAAAATAAGTAAGGAAGTAAGTAAATTGGGGATATATTAATAGGAGCCTGATGTCTGAAGCAAGTGAAATAAAGATCTTGCCCCTGCTGGCTGGAGTGACTGCCTGGAAGATGATATCCTCTATTGAGCTTTCTTTTTGAGATTAGTCACTGACAACCTGGAGAGAGTCTTCATCCAGAAGTAGATGGTGAAGCTGTGGGAAAGGAACTCAGAATGATGTCATTTGAAGAAAGAGATGTTGGAATGAGAAAATATAAGGGAACAAGACAACCTCCTCACATAGCTGAAGAATTGTTGTTAAGACTCCAGAAAGCAGACAAACCAGTACATGAGGGCACAGGAGATGCAGACTGTGGGCTTCACTCTGAAACATTTCCAACAAAAATTGATTCTCTAGATATATTATTGCCCACTTCAGGATGTTTCTGTTCATAGAGCTGCAGGTGCTTCAGCACAGGGTCCAAACCCCTTGGACTCTTTGGTTTAGAAACGCTAATATTTAAGTTTCTGCTACATGAAAATTGTACCAAGGTCAGAGAATAACGCTTATTGGAATCGGATGCCAGAACAAGGTACCACAAACTAATTACCATTTTAAAGATGAATATTATTAAACTTTAATATATTTTAAGCTGACAAAAGGTGAAAAGAAAGCTTTACAATGAAAATTAAATCTAAAATAGTTTAGCCTTTAAATTCAAAGGCAATACAACATTCATTACTTTCAAACTAAAATCAGCTTTGTAGTAGTTAAACGAAAAGCTTCAAAAGTTATGAGGAATTCTGTGAGGGAGAATGACTACTGCTACTACCTGCAGAAGGCCTGCTGTGTTTGGGATTTAGTTAAATACATTTTTCCTGTTTAAAACTAAATGGTCTTTTTCTCAGTTTGCTTAGTTCTTCAAAAGGACCTTTGAAACACTAGGAAATAAGTGATTCTTCAGCTACTGCTTTCTACAATACTTATATAGAAAAGAAAGTACTCGTGAAGAACTGTATTTTCCTGTCCTTCTCAGGGAAACAGAGGGTTAGGATTCCCCAGAGAGATGTTTTGATGGGTGAAAACTTGTCACGTTGGCATTTCACATTTAGGACTTCTGTTTTCTTCTCCTTTTATGTATCTCTATGTGTTACTCGTATGTGAACTGAGGGCCTTGCTAGGCAAACACACCACTTGAGCCACACCTCCAGACTTTTTCTTCACTTTTCACATATTACCATCCAGTAAAGTGGATCTTCTTCACCCATTTTAAACAGTATTGATATGGGTAATTCTCTGAATACAATGAATCCTTGTATTTTAATCTTTTTTTTAAAAAAAATTTTTATTTGTATAAAATAGTTGTATGGGGGGGGGGGGTTCACTGTGGCATTTTCCTCCCCTTCTTAAAATGACTTTGACAGGTTTTAATGTTCCATATTCATACATGTGTAGAAAATACATCCTCTTCGTTTACCCTCCCTCTCCCACTAGGGTCCTCCCCTTTGCATGACCTGTTCTGCAGTCCTGTCCTTCATTGTTTGTCTGTTTATTGTTCAGTGGGGTTTTGCCTTGGCATTTTACCTGTAAATATATTATACTTCAATCAGTCTCACCCCTCTATTACTCTTCCTTACCCTTTTCTCCCACCCCATATTGTCCAACAGTTTTCATTGTTTTATTGTTTTGTTCCTACACAGATGCAATGTATTTTGATATTATTCACTCCATCATTCTCTTCTTTCCCTCATCCTCTAGTCTCCTTTAATAGTTCTGCTATTGGAAACATGCTCGCTCGCTCGCGCTCTCTCTCTCTCTCTCTTCATATATATATATGTATGTATGTATAGATGATAATGCTTATATTTGGATTTATCTTCCAAATATGAGAGAAAGGATGCAACCTTTGTCTTTCTGAACTGGCTTACTTCATTTACCATGATGTTCTGCAGTTAAGGATGGAGCTCTTTAGCTAGTCTTGGCATCTACAAGATGGAGCAGACAATATCTGCCTCCACCAGACTTCCAAAGACCCACATCTCCTGGACATAATTAATGGTGCTTCTAGCTTCTGATTTTATCTCCAGAGGTGTCTGAATCATCAACCCAGATTGATCTTGAGAGCAGGATATGAGGCTCTTTAACTTCTTAGGGCAACACTTCCTGATTTTGTTTTCTTCTAATCCTTTGGACTTTTTTCCTTCTACAGATACTGAGTTTGTGTGTGAACGGACACTGAAATATTTTCTGGGAATTGCAGGAGGAAAATGGGTAGTTAGCTATTTCTGTAAGTATAATACAATTTCTCCCCTCCTCCCTTTAACACCTCAGAATTGCATTTTTACACCTGATGTTTTAACACCTAAGATTTTTTTCTGTTGCTGAGTCTAAATTACCAAAAAGTCTTTAATGGTAACACAAAACTATCTTTAATACATATTCAGATAAGCTGGTAATGTTGAGAAAATGGATTTATTTTGTAACTAATAGAACCTAATCTGTTTGTAACAATGTTAGCATATGAACAAAGGATTTATTTAATAAAGTAGGCAAAAAATCCATGTGCAGCAGGCACTTTTATAATGTTTAAATTAAACATCAACTGGGGCTCTGGGAGGAAATCTCTGCCACAAGCTTTATGAAAAAGCTGTAGCTTCAGAGAGAGAGAACCTTCCTGTTCTTCCCATCATCAGAAAGGAGCATGTTTTTCTCTCTCTGACCTGTTTTTTTCTGTGATCTCTTTAGGGGTAACCCAGTCTATTAAAGAAAGAAAAATGCTAGATGAGGTAGGTACTTGATGTTACAAACTAATCAGAGACTGTGTGCCACTGAGTCACACAGTCATGAAGAATGTATCTGCTTCCTCCATCAATGTACCAGTTTTCATGAGTTTTCCTTGATAATGGGAATCAGAAAGGCAAAGCAGCTGGGTGCCAGCGGCTCACACCTATAATCCTAGCAACTGAGGAGACAGAGATCGGGAGGATCAAGGTTCAGTGCCACCCAGGGCAAATAGTTCACAAGAACCTATCTTGAAAATACCCAACATAAAAAAGGTTCTGACAGAGTGGCTTAAGTGATAGAGTGTCTGCCTATCCAGTGTGAGGCCCTGACTTTAAACCCCCAGTACTGGGGGAAAAAAAAAAAAAAAAAGGCCATATATCCCAGGCTAGCCTGGAACTGAGATGTTGCTCCCTCAGCCTCCAGAGTGCTGGGGTTATAGGTATATGCCACCATTCCTGGCTTAGACCTGGAAATAAAGATTCACAGAGACAAGAAATGGGTCCCCCTGAATCTTTGTAGAAGACTGGCTGTTCACCATTGTTGAAGACTTCTTGTTAATAAACAAATGTATCTGTTTAGAAATCAGATTCCTTCAAAGAGATGTTCTCTGTGATACCGAGAACAGTGAGAGGTAAATAAGATAGGGTAGGAGGAAAAATAATTTTAGAATAGCCAAAAGCTGCTGGTAACACTAGATAAGGCAAAATAAAATTAGTGAAAGCTGTTTTAAAACAGTATATTCAGTATATTCATAATGGATTCAATTACATTTTTGCTGCCTTTAACTTCATTCAGTGGCTCTTTATTAGGAGCCTACTATGTGTCAGGTACTGGGACAACAGTAAATAAGATTGATCAACTCTGCTATGGAATGATTTATGTTTTAATGAGGGGAGAAACAATAAATGAAGATGAATTTAAGATACTAATAAATGCTACAAAGAGCAATCAACTAGCCAGGTATGGTGGTACACTCCTATAATCCCAAAACTTGGGAGGCCAGCCTGGGCTACAGAAAAAGACTAGCAGTTGTCTGGGATAGGGATTGACTACCCTCAGTTAAGGAGGTTGGGGAAGGTCTTAGAAAAAGATTGAGCTGAGACCTAAATGACAAGAAAGAATTGTCTGTCAAATGTAGTGAACAACTATTTGGACAAGTGGCAAGAGGACATAGACAAGGAGCAGATCATGTAAGAGTTGATGTTAAGCCATAGTAACAAAGAGTGCCGTTGGCTCACACCTGTAATCCTAGCTACTTGGGGGGCTGAGATACGAGGATTGTGGTTCCAGGCCAGCCTGGGCAAATAGTTTACCAGACCCCATCTCCAAAACTAACCAAGCCAAAATGGATCAGAGGTGTGGCTCAAGTGGTAGAGCACCTGCCTTGCAAGTGCGAAACCAAAAAAAAAAGAAAAAGAGAGAAATTGAGTTTTATTCCTAGGATACTTGCACGAAAAAGGTTAGTTTGGCATGTATATGGAGATAGAACTTGCTAGTTAATTAAATTTGGAGGATAAAATGCTGGCCATGGCAGCTTAAACTTGTAATTCTAGCTACTCCAGAGGCAGAGATCAGGAGGATGGAGGTTTCCAGGCCAGGCTGAGCAAAAAGTTCTCAGGACCCCATCTCAAGCAATTAGTGGGCATAGGGGCAAGCACCTGTCATCCCAGCTAAGTGGGGAAGCATGAATAGGAGGATCATGATGGCCCAGGCTCGCCCTAGGCATAAAGTGAGACCCTATCTCAAAAATAACCAAAACAAAAAGGTCGGGCTGGGATGTAGCTCGGTGGTGCAGCGCTTGCCTAGCATGCGTGAGGCCCTGGGTTCGATCCCAGCACCAAAAAAGAAAAGACAAAAAAAAAAAAAAAAAAACCTCTCCCCAAAACAAAAAGGTCCAGGAGGTAAGCGCCTGCCTAGCAAACTCAAAGCCCTGAGTTCAACTCCCAGTACAAAAAGTATATATATTTTATCATATATATATATATATATTTTTTTTTTTTTTTTTTTTTGAGGATAAAGAGAGAAATGAGGAGGGTAATTCTTGGGTTTGGGGCCTGAACCAATAGAGTGAATGTTAGTAATATTAAATTACATGAGGGACTGGGATATAGTTCATTGGTAGAGTGCCACAGGCCCTGGGTTCAGTCTCCAGCACCACCAAAAACACTTAAATAAATAAATAAATTAGATGGGAAGCATTGGAGGGAGCACATTGGGAGGAGGGAGGGCGGGAAACAGGAGGAGAATCAGGAGCTTTGCTTTATATTTTGACATTTGTGCTAGACATCTGAACATAGGGATTAAGTAGTCAGTTGGACAGATTATAAGACACTCTGGGGTGCAATCAACACTAAATATGAGAGTCATCTTCAAATAAATGACACATTTATCACCAGGCTTCTCATTTGCATGCCTAGGAAATGTTAGGTGTTTTTGCCTATGATAATAACCTCTGCCTCTGGTTACGTGGTTACACACGTATCTTTATTTTTCTTCATACTACTCTTAGCAGTACATGCAGTCTTCCCTACAATATGAATTTCAGTCACAATTGTTTCTGAGCCTTTTTCCCCAAATTTCTCCTCAAAACTCTGAATCTGAATGCCCTAATCTTTTTTTTTTTTTTTTTGCAGTACTGAGGATTGAGCTCAGGTCCTTGGATTTACTAAGCATCTGCGCTACCACTTGAACAGTCCACCAGTCCTTTTGCTTTTGCTTTTAGTTTATTTTTCTTGATAAGGTCTCCACTAACTTTTCCTGTGCTAGCCCTTGAGCCATGATCCTCCTACATCCTCCTCATGAGTATCTGTGACCACAAGTATACACCGCCATATCTGGCTTATTCTGAGACACGGTCTCCACTAACCATGCCTGGCTCATTTTTGATACAGGGCTTTGCTAACTGCCCAGGCTGGCCTCAAACTAAAATTCTCCTGTCTCTGCCTTTCAAGTAGCTCAGATTACAAGATGGATGCTACCACACGCAGCCTGTTATTTATTCTCTCATCCTTGACCAGTCAAAATGGTTATTATGAAAGACCCAACTTTCTTCAGTATATTTTATCATTTTGGATTTATTAACCATGTAAATCTCTCAGTGGAAATCTGAAAAGCACTTATTTCTTTAGAGGGTAATATACAATTGATGTAAGAGATTGGGAATTCTCTAGTTATCTTTGTAACTGCCCAGGATTAGCAGTTTAATCTAAATGCTAAGTGAATGTTTTGTGAGGAGAAAGATGTTGAAAATTAAAATACATTAAGTTCCAGTGAGGTGAAAAGGCAATTGGTAATTTCTGCACACAAAGATTTGCTTCAATGAATTGATTTCAGCAGCCAAGATCCTGGTCATTTCATCCAGTCCACCAAAAAGAATAATTTTATTTATTTATATATTTTTGGTCAGAACTGCGGTGATTGTGAATCCCATAAATGGAGGTGTCTGCTTCACTTCTGCTGATCCCTGTGATTTGGTTTGATTTCTTTCAGCGTGATTTTGAGGTCAAAGGAGATGTGGTCAATGGAAGAAATCACCAAGGTCCAAAGCGAGCAAGAGAGTCCCAGGAGAGAAAGGTAAAGCCCCCTCCCAGTGTTGACAAAGCCCCAACACCTTTGATGCCAGCCACCTCCATGGGGGTGGGCTTCATGTGGTAAGGTGCCTTATAGGTCCACTGCTAGAACACTGGCCTGACGCTTTCACAGAGGCCATTTTAGTTTTCCCAGTCCAACAAGGCAAATAAATACTGCTTCTGCTTCATTTATTTATTTATTTTGCAGTACCAGGGCTTGAACTCAGGGCCTTCACCTTGAGCCGCTCCACCAGCCCTTTTTGTGATGGGTACTTTCGAGATAGAATCTCTTGAACTGTTTGCCCTGGCTAGCTTCAAACCTGATCCTCCTGATCTCTGCCGCCTAAGTAGCTAGGATTATAGGCGTGAGCCACTGGTGCCTGGCTGCTTCTGCTTCTGAGTGAGAGAATGTAGAGTTTTCATGCCTGGGTAATTTGGACTCCAGTCTAGGGTTCAAATCTTAGCTGATTAGTGGCAGAGCCTTTGCTCTTTCCACTTTTACCATGGTATCTTTTCTCTAAAGCTGTGTATTAAGTGCAGTGAGCAGGATGTACACTGTGCTTATCTATGGAGGCATAGAAGAGGAAGTAATTCATAATTAACAATAGCTAACATTTATATAATGTTCACTATATGCCAGGAACTGCTCTAAATGGCTGAGCAAGCCCAGTGCCAGTGGCTCACGCCTACAATCCTAGCTACTCAGGAGACAGAGATCAGGAAGACCGTGGTTGGAAGCCAGCCCAGGCAAAAAGTTCCATGAGACCCTATCTTGAAAAAACCCTTCACCAAAAAGGGCTGGTGGAGAGGCTCAAGGTATAGGGTCTGAGTTCAAACCCAGTACTGCAATCAGTCAATCAATAAACAAATAAATAAATGCACAACTGACCATATTTTAACTACTTAACAATTTTACAACAATCCTCTGAGGTGTGTACCATTATTACCTATTTTAAATATGAGAAAATGGAGGCTCAGAGAGGTTAAGTTGTCTAAGTCACACAGCTAGTGAGTGATAGAACTAGAAGTTGAACCCAGGCAGTCTCCTCTTAAGTATAAACTCTTAACAACCGTGTCATGGCTTTGACTTCACAGAAAAAATAGATTATTCTAACAACTTGGCAAATAAGGCACAGGAGGACTCAGTTACTTTCCCCAGAAGGCCATGTAAGATATCACACCTGCCTGTCAGGCCTGACCAGCTGCTTTCTCAGGTTACTGGCTAAGTGCTTATGTTCCCAGTCTGCTTTTCCTCTTTTTTTAAGTGTGTACCACCAGGCATTTCAGAGCATCCCCACGCGGAGCACCTTCTGTCCCTTTCCAGAAACTTGAGAGGGAACTATGGAACTGAGTCTCAGGAAAGCTGCTTTGGGAGGTGATCACAAGTCGAGCCTGGAGTTCTAAACCCTTAGGGTCAGCCCTTCCTCGCCCTCTGAGCCTATCAAGTAACTGTCCCAGATGCCAAGAAAAACTGTCTGCCCTACTTCTTGCTTCTGCCTTCACCCCAGGGGAGCTCGTGCAAGCCAGCCATTTGTTTTTACCTTGCTTGATGCCAGGCAGAATTAACACCAAACTCCTCCTTCCTTAGAGGAAATCCTAGTGCTTTGGAATTTTTCTTACATGATGGAAAGTGCCTGGTCAAAGTAGTGACATTCTGAAGATACTAAATGTCATCATAGTATTTTCATGTAGAAGAGAAATGTATTTGTAGAGGTAAAACTTCAAATTTCTTATCTCATAACTAGACATTCTCATCAATGAGTGTCAGCCTGTGTATAAACATTCCTAATCTTTTATACTTTCTGTAGCAGCATTTTGCTCCCACTAGCTGTCTGGGGAGAACTTTTAACTTTATGAGCATCTAGGTGCAGTCAAGTTGGAGGTGCATTTTATTCAGACAGACAGGGAGAGTGGCATAGGTGGAAGCTGTCACTTAAACAGACTTGTCCTACTGTCCTTTTTTCTCTGACTGGAAAGTGTAAGAGAGTGTGTGTGTGTGTGTGTGTGTGTGTGTGTGTGTGTCTGTCTGTCTGTGTGTGTGTGTGTCTGTGTGTGTGTCTGTGTGTCAGAGGACACATTTCCTAAAAAGCCATCTGTGTGTTTCTGGTTTCCTGATTTTTAAAATTTTTTAGTTTTTTAACTTTTTTTGTAGGACTGGGGTTTGTAGTCAGGACTTTGCACCTGTAAAGCAGACTCCCCACCACTTGACCCACACTTCCTGTCCGTTTTTTTGGAGATAGAGTCTCATGAGCTTATTTCCCGGGCTGGGCTCAAACCCCGATCCTGGCCGTCTCAGCTAGAATTATAGGCGTGAGCCACTGCGCCTGGCTGGATTCTTGATTTTTGATACCAAGTAACTTGTAGGGCAGGCAGTTTTTTTAGTGGAATGGAAAGGTAGGAAAAAAAAGTCCATCTATCCAACTGACACAAATTTGGGTTTCTTTTAATTTATACCTTAGTCCTTTTCTAAGAAGCTGTGCCAAACATATTCATGAGTATTTGTACTGTCCAACACAGTTACCACCAGCCACCTAAGACTGTTTAGATTTCAATTAAAATACAAAATTCAAGGAATGGCAAAATGGCTCAAGTGGTAGAGCACCTGCCTAGCAAGTGTGAGGCCCCGAGTTCAAACCCCAGTACTGCCAAAAAAAAAAAAAAAACTACAGATATAATGAAATTCAGTTCTCACTCACTCTTACCACATTCCAAATGCTCAACAACCATATTTGATTCATGGATACCTTACTAGGACAGATATAGGACATTTCCAGTATCACAGAAAGTTCTTTGGACAGTGTTGCCAAGCACTGTAAGTTGAGTTCCCCTAGGAGGTTCTTTTGATCTGTGTCTTCAAGAAACAAGGCAGTCAGAGTAGCTTAGTGCAGAGAGGCAGAACGAGGCTTCACTGTAGATTAAACAATGCCTAGGTTGCAGGCAGATGTAATGGTCGTTCTCAGAGCAGTGTGAAGAAAGGAAGAGATGTCTGGGGACCAGAAGAAAGGCAGAAGAGAAAAGGAACATGTACACATAAAACAGATAGACTGCTTTGCTGATAGGGTCATGGTTGGTATTGTACCAAATCTGGAAAAATGTCAAATTTCAACCAGTAGCTTTAAAATTTTTTGCTGCCCAAGCCTATTTATTTATTTATTCATTTATTTATTTTGGTGGGACTGGGGTTTGAACTCAGGGCTTTATACTTGCAAAGCAGGTACTATATCATTTGAGCCACACCTCTAGTCTATTTTGTTGTGGTTATTTTGGAGATGGGAACAAATATTTTCCAACTATTTGTCCAGACTGACCCCAAACCTCAATCTGCCCAGTCTCAGCCTCCTAAGAAGCTAGTATTACAGGTGTGAGCCACAAGCACCTAGCAATTTTTATTAAACATAAAGAAGGCCCAGGTTTTTTTGTTTTGTTTTGTTTTGTTTTGTTTTCCTCTCATGGCTAACAAAAAGTAGAATCACCTGCAAAGGTCATTAAGGAGGAGCCTGAGCCTGATGACAAGATGGGATGCTCATCTCTTGAATGACAGTGACTAAGATCAACTACCTAAACACTTCAAAAAAATCTTCTTGCCAGGTGTGGAGGTGCAAAAGTGCAATGCCAGCACTCTGGAGGCCGAGGCAGGAGGAACTCTTATTAAATCTGTCAGTGCTAGGCTAGGGACATGGCTCAAGTGGTAGAGTGCTTGCCCCCACGCACAAGGCCTTGAGTTCAAACCCCAGTACTGGCACAAAAAAAAAAAAGGTCAGTTTTCCAGACATAGGACTGATTGTTTCTGGCAGGTAGCAGCTGAAATTGTCAAGTGGTAAAGAAAAGTACTTCCTTTTTAGGAATCTGTGTATTTTTATAAAAGCTCATACTCAGTGTGTTCCTTCCATCCCCCATCTTTCTCTTTCTCTCCTTGCAGATCTTCAGAGGCCTAGAAATCTGTTGCTACGGGCCCTTTACCAACATGCCCACAGGTAAGAGCCTGGGAGAACTTCAGAGTCCCAGTTACATAACAGTAGTACAGGTAGTGTCACCCTGTGGGGGTCTCTCAGATTGGTGAGATGGTCTAGAGGTTATTCTATTTCTCTAGCACCCTCCAAACAAATGTCGTCCCATGGCAAAGAGCCTTATGCCACTTCCCAAGGGCATGAAAGCAATGAAGAGTTAGGAATTTAGGATATTGTATTCTGCACTCAGGTGGGAGTGGAGCTGCTGTGATTGCCTTTGTGCACTAAGGAAGGGGCAGGGATAAGGAATTGAGAAGATACGGGTCTATAAATATCAAGAGAGAGTACTGCTCTTCTTAAACCATCCTCATTTAATACAGAGAAAAAAGCACAGCAGCTGGGTAAGCCCTATGGGTCTGGGGCTATGCACAGGCCCAGAGCAGAGGAAGATTCTTGATGAATATTTTCCAATTAAATTTGACATTGAATGGGATGTTACCATTTAGACTGCTGTAGGGCTCAACTCTGTTGTTGTGTAGACCAAGCCTCTTATGCATGTGTAGATTTGGTTCCTTCTTTTCAAAACAAAGGCTACCCACCTTTGCCTCCTGTGCCCCATTTCTGCCCCAGGGACTGGGTCTTCATAATTCTGAGAGGAAGGCCTTAGCATCTGGTCGTAGGCAGGTGAGTGGCAGGAAAAGAGCCCAGCAATGTAACTTGCTTCCTTCTTTACTGGTTATTGATTGGATTTTTATGAAAATTTAAAGTGCCCCACCCAAGGATTTCTCTGTGTTTTTATACTTTGGTATAGTGAAAACTAGGGTTTCCAGCAGGTGTCATTTTTAGAAGGATAAAATTAGTGAGCCTCAGTTTAATCAGACAGACAGGAGCACCTCAGCAATTCCCAGAAATGAGCTGATGGGAAAGAGAAGCATCTGTGGATGCCTTGAGGAGCACAGCCAAAGAAACAGAAGGCACCCATTGCTCCGTTCTGCTGATTCTCCAGGTGCAAATGGAACATCTCTGCAATGTCTTCTGATTTTTATTCCCTGTAGCATGTGACCTTTCCCACTGATCTGAGTCCCTGGCCAGAATGCCATGTAATTTTTTCACTGGATCAATTATCTTCCCATCTCTTGACATTTATAATAATTACCACCAAGTATGGTACTCTCAGTGGCCGTGATTATCAATTACCAACACAGCATTAGGATGCAGGGAGGGAAGAAAAATGGAAGGGAAGGAAGGTGAGCGTTTTTTTTTTTTTTTCACCCAGTATCTTATCTAGCAATTTAGTAAATTGATGAAAATTAGATCTTGATTTTTTTTTCTTTCAAAATGTTTTAGTTGAAAGAGTATGAAACCTTATCTACCAAGAGGCCTCATGAAGACTAATAACCAGAGTAGGAAACAGTGTATCAGTAGCAAATTGACTTAGAATCCATACTAATTTTAAGACTTTTCTGTCCTTTGGAGCAGAGACAGGGGCTCTTCCTCTGATAAGTCTTGTTGTAAGCTTTCCTCTGGGGCGGAGGTGGTAGAGGGCACAGATTATGTATGTGGATCACCATGGCGATGTACGGTCTGACTGTCCTATGTAGATCAACTGGAGTGGATGCTGCAGCTGTGTGGGGCTTCTGTCGTGAAGGAGCTTTCCTCATTCACCCTTGGCACAGTAAGTGTTTGAGGTCCTGTTAGAGGGGGGACACAATATTCTCTCCTGCAATTGAACAAGGCCTCTAACGTATCCTTAAGAGTTTTCTGTAGTCCAGCACTTGGTGGCTCACACCTGTAATCTTGGCTTTTCTTCCTGGTGGTACTTGGGTTTGAGTTCAGGGCCTTGTTCTTGCTAGTCAGGTGCTCTACTGCTGGAGCCATGCCTTTAGCCCTGCTTTAGTTATTTTTTGAGTTAGGGTCTCTAATTTTTGCCCAGGCTGACCTGGACTGTGATCTTCCTACTTATGCCTTCTTCAAAGCTGGGAATTACAGGTGCATGCTACCATGCCCAGCTTATTGGTTGAGAATATGGGTCTCACTAACTTTTTGCCCAGGCTGGTCTCAAACCATGATCCTCCTGCCTCCCAAGTAACTGCGATTACAGATGTGAGCCATTACAACTGTCTCCTCTGCTTTTTACCATGTGCCTTTCCCCCTCCTTTCTGTGGCTACCCCCAATGTAGTCTTCTTCAGCAAACTAGAAATGCTGAAGTGACAGTTACAAAATTCCTGCCTTGCTGGGTGCTGGTGGCTCACGCCTGTAATCCTAGCTGCTTGGGAGACTGAGGTGCAAGGTTCAAGACCAGCCCAGGCAAATAGTTCATAAGACTCCATCTCCAAATAACCAGAGAAAAATGGGCTGGAGGAGTGGCTCAAGCAGTAGAGCCCCTGCTTTGTGAGTGTGAAGCCCTGAGTTCAAACCTCAGTCCCATTCAAAAAAATGCCCTACTCTTCACTCTCAATACTCTTTCCTTCCTGGGGTTGCAGGGTGCTCACCCAATTGTGGTCGTACAGCCAGATGCCTGGACAGAGGACGATGGCTTCCATGGTAAGGTGCCTGCATGTACCTGTCATATGGGGTCCTGGTGGATGTGCTTGGTTTACCACCAATTACCTGACATTTGAGTAGCACAGTTCTCAGCCCACTTTAAATATCTGTTGAATGAGTGAATGGCTAAAATGTCTTTTTAACATTTTTATTCTTTTCTATTATAAAAGTAATGCATGAACTTTTTCCATGGGGGGGTAGTTTAAATATGAATGTTCATCATAGAAATAATCTAGCACAAAACAGTAGAATAAGAATAGTGATCCCACCATTGGAGATGATCAGTATAAAACTCTTCTAGGCATGGTGTATTCATGTGTGCATGTGTACTTTACACAGATGTGATCATGTTCTTAATACTGGTTTTTTCGCTTAAGATATTTTTTCACATCATTAAATTGCAGTGCTATTTTGCTCTGATGGCTTTCCTTTAACAAGTTGAAGTCCATGTTAATATGGTTGCCAGAGGCTGGACTTTCATTAGCAGTCACTCCTCAGGCTTCTGAGTAAGATCCTATGCCCTGAAGCATTGCTTAAGAACAAAAATTTGATCCTTTCCTGATTAACCCTGAAACTCTTATCATCAGGTTCTTGGAGTGCTTGGAGTCTAATTTGTAAGAATGACTTGACATTAATCTCTGCTTGTGTTCTGTCCCAGCAATTGGGAAGGTGTGTGAGGCACTGGTGGTGACCCGGGAGTGGGTTTTGGACAGCGTAGCCCTTTACCAGTGCCAGGATCTGGACACCTACCTGATACCACAGATTGCCCACAGCCGTGATTGCAGCTAGCCATGCATCTAAAGCCACAAGACCACAAGGATGTGCGTAAGGAATGGCCTTTCCAAGCCCAAAGAGTGCCTTTGCGACCTTCCATAGTTCTGGTTACTAAATATTTTATGTACATCAGCTTAAAAGAAGCATCTGTTTATATATGACAGCTTCAAGTCTCCCTTTAAAATCTGTCATGAGCACAAAATTGTGGTAATTTTTCACCTGAGAAGTTTTTTGGTTTTTTTGCTTGTTTGTTTTGGCAGTAGGGGATTTGAACTCAGGGTCTTGGTAGGCAGGCACTCTATCATTTGAGCTACTCCACCAGCCCCTACCATTTATACCCTGTCAGTTGAGCAAAATGCTGATTCATTATTGATACACACACACACACACACACACACACACACACACACACACACACACACACACACACACACACACACACACACACACACACACACACACACACACACCAGAACACTGGGCTCAGTCACCTGATTTCTAAAGAATGTGCTCTGAAAATTTCAAAAACCAGTGTCCAAAGAGTCTTCTATAAAAATGTTTATTGTTGGAGCTCTGGTATGTAACCCAATCCTCTTAGAATATAAGCTCTCTAATATGAATGTTTCATGTCTGTAAAATGATGGATCCCACCAGGAAAGGAACTGTTGCTTTCTTTGAGGTAATTTTTTTCCTTTTGCTGCCTATTGTTGAACTGTACTGCTTCATAAATAATTTTGCTTGCTGAAGGAAGAGAAAAATGTTTTTCATAAACTCATTATCGAGGACTGTTATAGCTGTTAGAAGAAAGAGGTCTTCCCTAGCTCCCCAGTGTGCAAGGGCAGTGCAGTCTTGATTGTACAAAGTATGTTTTGTAAATGTTGTGCTGTTAGCACTGCAAATAAACTTGGTAGCAAACACTTCCACCAAGAATAACTGTTCTTGAGACCCACCTGCAGATGTTTTCAGTCTTCTCACTTTCTCTGTTTCCTCATCCATAAAATAGTGGTAAGAATGGCATCTACCTCCTGGTGTACCTGAGGCAGCTTCAATATCTTTTTTGTTTTCTATTGCTGCTATAACAAATTGTCACAAACTAGTGGCTCACAATATCTATTTATTATTTCACAGTTATATGGTCAGAAGTCCCAGGTGTGGGCTAAGGGTGTGGCTAAATGATAGACCTGCCAAGTATGCTAAAAACCCTGGGTTCAAGGTCCCAGGTAGGTTAAGTGGTTTCTCTGTATCTGTTTCAGGGGGCCAGCACCAAAGTAGCTGTAGGTCTGTGTCCTTTTATAGAGACAATGGGAATGAGTCTGCTTCCAAGTTAATGTTGTTGTCAAGTTGTTCCTGGGGTTGCAGGACTGAGCTCTCTGCTAGCTGGCTGCTGGCCTGGGGTCATGCTCTGTTTAGAGGCTGCCCACATTCCTAACCTCCTACCCCCGCCTCACCTTCCAAGCTAGCTATACATAGCTAGACAGGTTTTTCTCATACAGTATGTCTGTCATATCTTTCTAACTCTTGCCAGAGACAGTTCTCTGGTTTGGGGGATTTTTTTTTTTTAATCTGGATTTTTTGAGATAGAATCTTGCTATATGGTCCAGGATGACCTTAAATTTACAGTCCTCTAGCACTTGGAGTTACTGGCATATGCCACTACGCCCAGCTGGTTCAAGTGATTAGATTGCACCCACTGGTTATTCCAGAGTGATCTCCCTGTTCTTAAGGTCTGTCACTTTAGTTATAGCTACAAAGTTCCTTTACAGTGCTATCTAGATTAGTGTCGGATCAAATAACCAAGAGATAGCAATTGAGGGAGGACATCTTTTGAAAAGTGGGGCTCAAGTTCCTTGTTTAAGATTTTGCTCAAATTTGCACAGCTACCAATTGACTACATGGGAATCTGGACCTGCCTTTCCATCCCATCATTCAGCTTTCCACTTCTATCAGTCATGTTTTCAAGAAGACACTGTTTCAAACCTAAAGGAGATTTTGGGAGAGGAGTAGGTTGTCAGGGGACCTAACACTCAATTCTGTTATGGGCCATGGTGGGAGAGAATAAAGGCAGCCCCATTCAGGCAAAGACACTTAATGGGATAAGGTTATAACTATCATATCTACTCCCATCCAGTCTCCCAGCTTCTCACTGTGTTTCAGTTGTCAAAACCTAGTTCAGCCTCAACTAAGCAGGACATCCCCAGGACTTGTGTCAACTCCCTTGTCAACTCCTGCCAGGGAGGTGATGGATCTCATAGTAGGGGTAAAGGTAGGTAAAAAGCAGAAGTGCTGTTAACCCAGTGTTCCATTCCATGGTGTCTCATTTCCAGGGACCAGTCATGGCTCACTGGACTCTGGGGGTGATTCAGGCCTCAGCTTGCTGTCCCCCTCACTGATGGGTTAATAGAAAAAGCAACATACATCTGGTACATTCCTGCCTTTTCAGGAATCCTGGGTGATCTCAAGGTCCTCCCAGAGATGTACACTTTCCCATCTAACTCAAGGTCTGCATAACCTTTCCCAGATGTCAACTGGCCCTGCCCTCATGGTGCTTGGCCAAGTTTAAGAGTTCTGTATGGTGATGGAGCAAATCTGCTGTTCCTTTGACCTCTAACTTTAAGTAAGATGTCCCCCTTTTCCATCCCACAGTCTCTAGCCCTCTCTGGGCCCAGCCGTACTTGGGAACTAGTTCCTATACCGCCTTTTTATCTATTCACAAAATAACTTGCAAAGAACCTGGAAAGGGAGGAGGAGGATTATCATGCAGGCATACAGAGGGGGCCTAGAGAAGAGCTCTAGCAGATTATCTCCTTCCTAAAAAAAAAAAAAAAAAAAATGCAACCAGACTCGTCAACAAAGTATCGGCTCAAAAGCATGCAAGAGAAAAAGAATGGCTTTTTTTTTTTTGGGATGGCTGGAGCGGAAGGAGCCGAGCTGCCCAGAATGTATCATGTAAAGGCTGCAAGGAGCAGATAAGGACAGCCCCAGAAGCAGGCGAAGAAGGAAAGGGTGTGTGTGTTGGTGGGGAGGGGTGCTGCAGATCTACCCAAAGAAAACAGAAAATGGGGCCTTCTACCCAGGAAGTGTGGGGCTCGCTTAACAATGGCTGTAAACTGGCTGAGCTGGAGTTCTCTACTGCCTACTTTAGTGATGCTTAGCTCTCGCCAACAAATTTGCCTGTAACAAGCAGAAAGTTAAAGAGATTAATCTGGACAGATAGGAAATTAAGGGGAACTGGGGAAGTGTAGAAGGAATTGACCCTTGGCAGGTGTGGTGGTACATGGCTATAATCCCAGCACTAGGGAAGCAGAGGCAGGAAGATCGTGAGTTCAAGGCTAGACTGAGTTACATAACAAGACCTATCTCAAAAAAATATATATATATATGGCTGATCTTGGGTAATCAGACAACCTAAGCAATGGTTGGAAGAGTTGAAGAGAGTTGAGATCTGGACATATTCCTCCAGTTGTAGTGGCCAAGGAACATGAAGGCTTAGTTTCAAAGCCCCAAAATGACATGGTATCTTAACATGAAGCTTAGTGGAGTGCTTCTCAAATTGATGGCAGCACTGGGATAAAAGCAACAGCATCACCTAGGAACTTGTTAGGTATGTGGACTTCCAGTCCTCACCTCCTGAATCAAACTGGGCGTGGAGCCCAGTAACCTGTGATTCTGCAGCAGGCTCAAGTCCCAACCACCGACTGAGTGTCAGGGGCTGCCAGTTGGTAGAAAATGTTACCTATGGTCTCTTCTTTTGTCTCCAGGAGAGGTGAATCTCTGGCCTGTTAAGAATAAATAAAGTCTGTGGGCTGGTAAGTGGTTCTTAGCTACAAGGGTACAGCAGCTGTCTTTAGTTAACTCCAAAATGGCTCTTTAAGCAAATACAAAACAAAGGACAATGATTAAATTATATTAGCAACCTAGGAGCAGGAGAACCAGACTGCTTTAAAAAAACAGCTAGTGGTTTAGGAGGTTTTATTAATATTTAAATTGCAGTGAAACCACAGCTGCAGCCTTTGACTCCAGCATAGAGGTATGCAAATGTGGCTTTCAAAAGCAAGGCAGTTCCAGACAGCCCTCAAGGTAACAAGAACAAATAAAACAAATGATTGTGTAATTTATCTTTATTGACTGATGGAGTGCAAGGCATGGACTGCCCATACCCTGTGAGAGGCAGACACAACTGAGCTCCCCAAGGGAAGCAGCGAAAGCCTCCTGGAGGGAGAATGTAAGCAGACCCATAGACCAGTGACAGGAAAGACCCAAGAGGATAAAACAGGAGGCAGATAGGAGATAACTAAAGATGGAAACGCAGCCCTGGGTTCTGTGGATCCTCTGATCCTGCCAGTTCACAGGAGCAACAGCAATGATAGTCACTACTGCCTGTCATTTGCCACACTCCTACTAAGTGCCATGCAGTGTTCCCCACATGGGGAGGTCAAGCAACTTACCCTAGATCACACAGCAAAAGAAAAGGGCAGAGCTCAGATTCAAACAAAGATGTGTGAGGCTGAAACTCAAGCTCTTTCCAGTGCACTGTGATGGAAATGAGGAGGCAGTGAACAACTAGGTTGATTGAGGGGAGACTATGCACCAGTTTTATGGTAGCCTCTGTATGTGTGTGTAGTTGTGGAAAAGAGAATGAAAAGATCCATTTCTGGCCTTCAAATTGCTTACTATTCAGTGGATCAGGCAAGAGAGCCACAGAAGAGCCTTGCAGAATTCTGGACCAGCAGTTCTTCGGGGGCTGTGTGATGGGGCCAGACTTTGCCCACTATGGGGGAACTTCTGGAGGAAGCACCTCACCTGGGTCTTGGGACTTGGGTAGGATTTGGCCAGGGGAAAAGGAAGCCAGAAAACTTAAGAGCCAGGTGAGAACCTCTAGCTGCTGGAATTAGATAAAGGAACACCTGATTGAGGGAGGAGAAGAGATGAGAAAATTCTCTAAAAGTCATTTCTCTCTTTCCACCTCTCCATGTCTCACCTGAAGCTCCCTTCAGTCCCCCAGTCCACCACATATAGGAATCCATAGACTTTGCTCATACTGTATTTTCTACTAGGTGACTGGGTGAGTCCTGATCTGCCTGTCACCCCTGCAGGCCCAAATCCTGCCCAACCT